GTGTTTTATAGCTGAAGCGCAAACAAGCAGGAAGTGCTGTGAAACAAGGTCTTAGAGGAATTTCTCATGAAACTTACACGCACTCTACTACAAACTCTGCCAACATGACGCTAATCTTGATTGTTTCTTAAAAACAATTGCCTTACCCGCGGCGCGCGCGTGCGCACACACACACACACACACACACACACTGATCCCGGGCACAAGTACATGTGTGCACACACAAGCACACTGACTCACACACAGGCACACAGGCACACAGGCAATGAATTCACACACATTGATAGCATACACAGTTGCACACTCATGCACACACGCACTGGCTCGCGTCCATGCACACATGTGCATACACTCACACATGCACACACATGCACACTGACTCACGTTTACGCAGTCACATGCACAAACTGATTCATGTCCATGCACACAAGCACACAGGCATATACTAAGTCGCATGTGCACACACATGCACACACTGAACACACCGAACACACATGGTTCATATATGCACACTCACATGGCTGCAAGTGCACACTGTTCATTCACACACATACGCATGCACACTCGGGTGCTCACACCTACACTCATGTGTACATACCTGCATTCATAATGGTCACACATTAACACACTCACACTCACCTTGGCACATGAATTTTTGCCACACCTGCATGGATGCAGTCACGCTTGTATGTGCATAGGCTCACATGTTTGCACACTCAGGCACACACACACACACACACACCAGACCTGAGGAGAGTAGCTCAGTGTGAACACGGCCTCACGCTCACCATTGGGAAGAGGAAATGTATGGCACAGTTGTCTCTGTGTGAGAGCGCAGGGTGTGCGTTGTTAGAGACCAGCGGTCAGGGGGTCAGGGAGACGCCTGTGCTGCAGAAACACCAGGGTGTTTGGAGAAGGGGCCAGAGAGAAGCACAAATAGTTGGTGAGCCAGCGTCTGGGCTGGGCGCCCCCTAGGCTGGCAGGCCTGCCCCCCTCCTGCCTGAAGCCACTCCGCCCACCCCCCTGCCCGCCCCCAAAGACTGGCAGAGTGGCTGTGTCAGCTTGCTGTGGGTGACATCACCACAGAGGTATTTCCTGAGCATGTGGGGACTCTGGGGACACGGATGGATGAGCAGAATGAGCCCTCCTCCCAGCCAGGGGCCCCGGTGCCTGCACACAGGCAGCAAGGACAGTGGCTGGGCAGGGGCGCCCTGGGCCCCAGGCAGGGGTGGCATGGGTCCTGAGCGCCGACCCAACCCACTCAGACAGGGTTTGTGAAGCGCTTTGCCTTACCCACCAAGCCTGGAGGCACTGTGGGTTGGGCACTGGGCTCCTAACCACAAGGTCGGTGGTTCAAACCCACCCGTTGCTCCGAGGGAGAGAAATGACGCTGTCTGCTTCTACAAGGATTCCCAGCCTTGGAAACCCTGGGAGGCAGTTCCCACAGGGCCCCTCCATTGGGGTGGTTGGGTGGCCTTCACCAAGGTGGGGCAGTGGGCTGAGCCCTGGACTGCTAACCAAAGTGCCTGCAGTCTCAGCTCACCTAGTGGCTTGAGGGCAGGACGAAGCTCAGGTCCAGAGGGCCGCAGCAGCCCCTGCCCACCCCCAGGGGCAGTTCCACTTGGACTCCAGGTCCACTGTGAGCTGGAGCGCTCCCCGTGCTGGGTTTGGAATTGGTGCTGTTTGAACCTCAAACTCAGCACTGACAGCAAGGGAGCAGCTTGGTTCACCCCCCACCCACCCACCCGCCCTCATCCCCCACCCAGGCGCCTCTAAAGAAAGGCATGGCAGGTCACTTCCAAACGCTCACAGCCTTGAGAAGCTGGGGGCCCAGAGTTCCACTGCACTGGGGGTGGGAGTGGGGCTCCACCAGCCAGGCCACTTTCCCTTTTCCAGTGGTGCTACCCACAGCTTCCTCAGTTGGGGGTGAGGTGGGGGCCCCGGGGTTCTCAGACCCTGAACATCAGCAGGTGGCTGTCCCCAGAGGAGCTAGGCCGCCCCTGGGACGTGGCTGCCCCCAGCTTGGACCGATAGACTCGGCCTGTGAGATCGGCAGGCTGCCTGTGCCTGCCTCCCCTGACTCACAGAGGGTGTGGCTGGGCAGTCTGTCTTCTGGGTTAAGGAGGAGGGAGGCTGCTGTGGAGCCCTGGGGGGGGATTCCATCTCTCAGACTCATGTTTCCCTCTTTGTCCTGGCCACCAGGAAGCTCAGAGGCGCCCTGGTATGGGCTCACGCTCCAAAGCAAAGCATGACCAGAATGCACACGCTGGCCACACCTCTGGCCCAAGTGTGGTTTCTACTGCTTATCACAGTGTTCTCATTCGTGACAAGTCTTCAGTTTCTGAGGCAGGGCCAGCCACAGGGAGGGGACAAGGGTCCATCCAGAATGCCAGTGGTCGGCCTCTGTGAGAATGGGTGGAGCGGTGGGGCAGAACCAGAACCCACGCCAGAAGCCGCCTGGAGAGACTGGCTTCCTGCGAGTTCTGAGAGGGGGTCTGGGCCTTCCAGAGGGACAGGGATTGTGGGGAGATCTGGACCCCCACACACACCTGGGGAAGGGGCTGGGTTTCTTTGAGGGCACCCTGGCCTGCAGGGCAGGCCCGACTGGAGTCACCGCTGGTATGGATTCCCTGAGCTCCCCAAACCCTGCAGCCTGCTTGGGCCCCGTGGGGTGCCCACCCTTTCAGGAGATGATGGGCGCAGGTTGCTCCCAGAAACTGCCTGCCAACTTCGGGAGCACAAAGCAGATACAAAAAACACCCTGGGCCTCAGCCTGCCCACCTGGGCTGTGTGTTCACTGTGGCCTTCCGGGCACCAGAACAAAATGTGGCCTGGTTTCCTGCTGGCCTTTCACCGGCCTGTTTTCAGAAGTGGGCCTCCAGGCCTTTCTTCCTGGTCTTTGTCTGGAAGCGCCGCTGAAACCTACCCACTGTGGGCAACCATGCCAGGGCTTAACATTTTAGCTGCAAAGCTTCTGGCACCACCTCAGCGACATGCCAGCCACCCCCATCGACAGGCTGACCGCTGGCTGGTGATTGTCAAGGGCATATGCCAGGTGACCCCTGAGGCAGTGCCGTTTCAATGGAAGAGGGGCTGGACCCAAGTACCCATCCTGCTGCTGGCTGTGCCCTTCACCATCCTGAGCTTGTCTCTAGGGAGCCCAGCACCCCATCTCTGGGGCCGCCGGAAACAGCAGTAGACATTGCCCTGCAAGCTATGTTCCCAGGCAGCCTTGGGGCCAGGAGACAGCATGGTCACCACCCACCAAGTTCTGTGAGGCACCCAGCCCCAGGGCCTCCTAGGACTCAGTTTCCCCACCACATAATGAAAGGGTGGTGGGAGCAAAATCGGGGCACTCCCAGAGGGTCACTAGGAGAGTCTGTGGGTGGGCGGGCCCCCATGGCACCGACTAACACACTCAGCAGGAAGGGGCATCTCCTCACTGAGCCTCTGTCCCACACCTGTAGACCAACCCTCAAGAGAAGGCCCAGGCATGTCCACAGGGTCCCTGCCCCCAGCTAATGTGCATGCCAACAGGCCAGCTGTGGT